TTTATGCCTGGACAGGAAGAGGGAGGAAGCTTGTGACCAGATGCTTGCAGATTTGGCTGGGTGCTCATCTGGGCCTTGGGACAGGTACCCAGGAAGAAACTCAGATGCTTCTCGCAAACAGTGCACGAAGGAGACGAAGGAGACTTTGTGCTTCCCTCTCCTGACCTCCCCCGCCCCAGACAAACCTCTATTGTCATGTAGAAATCATACATACTAGAGAACTTTTTTGTGTAGCTTCTCCAACAGTGACAGGTGATGCTGAAGTAACCTGCATGCCTCTCTTTGTGTTTGTCCAAACTAGAATTTTTGAAGCGTTTCGGTTCAGGGATCTATTGTTATAGGGGAAAATCTCCAGCTTCAACTATTCAACATCTATGAGTGTTTTTTTCAGGATGTAGTAACCCACAAATGTGGACATTATTTTAGAAGTTTTTTTTTTTTTTTTTAATTCAGTGGCCCAAAACTGTCTCTTATATTTAGAAGCCTGGAGCTAGGGTTACGTATCATGATACATGCACGGTGCTTTTTGCTGAATGCAGCTGTCCTGCTGTGGGCCAAGGGTAATTTGCTGATCCAGGAGCTGAGGCCAGCGATTTTATGTCTGCATCTGTTTCTGCCTATAACCTGTGGGCCAACACAGGGCAGCTTCAAGAGCTCTGGCCACACCAGCCTTAGCCACACGAAGAACGATGGGACAGGAACTTCTACTCCCCGAGAATTGTCCTTGGATACAGACAGCTCCCCTTCTGCGGAGTGACCGCATAACATTCAGTTCTTACCTCTGCCTTAGTACTTTCACCTTCCCTTCATTTTTTTCTTGGAGAGGTTTTTTGCTATAGGGTACGCACGCTTGCCAGAAAGGTAGAGAGGGACAGAAAGACAGAAAGTGAGAAATCATCCCCCAGGCGGGAGGGCCACGTCGTACTCCCTTCTCCTCCATTTTCCTCTCGGGATCTTGGGCATGCATGCACACAGGCCATGCATGAGTTTAAGCCACTGGGTCTGAGACTCGAACCGCAATCGACTACATGGGAGTCCAGTGACATAGCCATTACAGTAACTACTGGCCCCATCCCTCACACTCCCTTCTAATTGTTGGCATGCATGCCTGTTTCCATTATCCCCAATGCACTGTGAACAGCCTTCCCTGGGGCTCTCTTAATCACATGGGAATTTCCAAAGCCTAGCCCATTTCTGTGGTGGAACAGGTGCTTTTTGTAAGTATTGGTCAAATGAGAAAATAGATAAGAGTGACAACCCAATGGAGACGTTGTTTGAAAAGCTATTAAATTCTTTTCTGACATACGTGGAAGGCATAATAAGAAGCAGTATGTTTAATGTGGACAGTGGTTGCAGTGTCTCTCCTTCTGGTAAAAACGCTTTGCTTTTCCTTAGGGGAATCACCATTCTCACACTCTTAATCCATAAAGTATGGTTGGAGGTGACTTCACATTCATCTCTAGAGGTTGAATCCCGGCTCAGGGCCCAGTTAAAAAGTACCTCACACACCCCTGGCCACAGCACCAATTTGTGTAGGTACGATGGCCATGCCTATTTGTTCATGGCCAGTATCCATTCTGATGGGTTGGTTCTGGTTGCAGATCAGTCCGGCGTTATTTTGAATCAAACCACATGAGAAGCACAGTTCATAATAATACTGTGCACCATGATCCAGCCGTACCTGAAGCCATCCCTAGAATTTTCAGTTTTATGACCAGGAAATTCTATTGTAATGCTCTAGCCAGTTTTTGTCACTGGCTGATGAGAGAATTCTTTGGCTGATGCACCAGGTCAGTCTTTTCCCAACTGTGCTTTGGGGAGTGGAGTAGGGTTTTTCCAGGACACCCTGGGGATCACCAGCTTGATCTGAGAACTTAGGGCACCAGGGGCCAACAAAAGTCAGAGCCCATTTTGGCCTCCGGTATCTTACTTAGCCAGAGTTTTTCTTATTTTATTTTAGTGCGACCAACATTTCTTTTATTATTTTTTTTTTTTATAAATAAGAGGTTCTGCCTTAATTATTGTTAACAATCAAGGAAGGTACATTTTCATTTTATGTGTATAATTGAATTTCACAAGTCTTACTTTCACATCATTCATTCATTACACATTTCTAGGTCTTGGGAACACTGTAACATACAGCCCTGCCTTCATGAAACTCACAATCTAATTGAAGAAGACAGAAAGTGAACAAATGATTGAGTAAAATATTTATGTATCAAATGGTTGTGAATACCATGGTAAGAAATATAGCAGGAAATGGTGTAAGAGTTGAATTGGGGCCAACATTTTTTTTTGGGGGGGGAGAGGTTTTTGCTACAGGGCACGTGCACTTGCCAGAAAGACAGAGACCAACAGAAGACAGAAAGTGAGAAGTCACCCCCCCGGGGGGGATGACCATGCCGCAATCCCTTCTCCTCCGTTCTCCTCTCGGTATCTTGGGCACACACGCACACGCACTCGGCATGCGTTTAAGTCGCTGGGTCCGGGACTCGAACCGTTATCGACTACATGAGAGTTCAGCGACATAGCCATTACACTAACCGCTGGTTCCCAGGCCAACATTTTTAATGCCTCATAGGAGTACATTTCAGGCTGTAAGTTAATTCACAGTGGATGCCTCTCTAGCCCCACCTGGGTGTCTCTGTGGTTTTCCCAGGGCCTAGGCTGGAATGGAAGCTCACCAAAAGTTGAGAACCCCAAGAAGGCACCAGTCACACACTACAGCAGTAAACAAGTTTACTTAAAACCATTTTTATTCTGCCTCTCAGCAACACTTTTCATTTGATTTAGGTAAATGATCAGGGACACAAACACAAACAAACAAACAAAATACAAGGTTTCTGCCAGGAGCAGAAATCAGTATCCAATACTCTGGAATGACGCTTGAATCTCTGTGTGCTGAGAATTCGTGTCCCTGATTCAGTGTCCTCCTGGGACAAGTGCTGGCTCATGAGATGACAGGTTCAAGTTGGAGTCCATCAGTTTTTATATTTTGCTAGGGTCCAGGGTTTTAACACATGCCTGAGATTCACAATAATCTAAGAATAATGGTTTATTATTTGTAAAGCACATAGAATCCCCCTTCCCCACCAGGGGCATTTACATTTCTCATGGCAATTCTCATAACCCTCTGAGGTAAGAAAGCAGGCATTCTTATCTCCATTTTCCAGGTGAAGAAATTTGAGGCACAGAGAGGCTAAGAAACTTCTCTAAAATCAGCTTGCATAGGTCGTTGGTGGAGGGGAAAAAAAGGCATGGGGACTACCTTTTTTGGTATCCACAGGGGGCCAGTTCCAGGACCCCAGAAATCCCCCCAGCAAAGAATACCAGAATCCATGAATACTCAAGTCCCTTATATAATGTGGCACAGTATTTGCAAATAACCAACACACATCCTTCTGTATACCTTAAATCATCTCTAGATCACTTACAATAATTACCTAACACATATAAATGTTACGTAAATAGTTGTCACATGTATTGTTTGGGGAATAATGACAAGAAAAAATAGTCTGTACTTGATCAGTACAGAGGCAACCGATTTTTTTTTTCTTCAACATTTTTGATTCATGGTTGAATCTGCATGTGGAATCCACAGACATGGAGGGTCAACTGTATTTTAACTCTCAACCTCTTGTTCTTTCAAATAGAATAAGCCGTCTTTTCTTTTGCTTATGAAATTTCATTATCACTCATTCTAATATTCATTCTTGAAGTGATTTTTGGGATGTGTGTGTGTGTGTTTATTATATTAATCACTTGGTATTTTCCTCTGAGTCCATTTACTTTTCTTAAGAAAATTTATTTAAACAGAAATGATATATCACATTCATTTGTAGAAAACCATGAGTGGAAGGTAATAAATAAATAGCATGAAAACAAAACCCTATCATTGAATTCTGTCTGGAAGACTCTGAACCTGAAGCCTGCTCTTTCTTTGTTCAAAAGGGAAAAGAGCCATAGTGTTAGAAAAGTGTTAAGGACTCACTAGCACTAAACAGAGACTTTGCCCCCGCTGTAGTCAGGATTGTAGAAGGATAGAAAAAGGAAAATGTTCTTTGTAATGCAATATTGCTTAACGTCATTGTAAACTACTTTAAAAGGGCCTTGCGTACCACCAGTGGTACACACCTTGCACACTCTGCAACACTGAGTTAGTGTGTTCTGAAAGGCAGAATAATGGCGTCATTAAATCAGTACATTCATATCTAAAGAGTTTACATGTGACAGAATAGAAATACAAGGCATGGCATTTCCAGGTGGCATCCAGGGAAATCAAAGATCTTGCCTGAGACTTGCTAAAAAATAGGGGGAACGGGAAGGAGAACGAGAACTAGAGATTGAAAAAAGCACATTCCATAAATACAGCCAATGTATTCCCAAAACTGGGATGGAGACGGTGCCCACGTGCCTTGAACTGTCCCCTGAATAACATTCTCAGAGCTCGTTTGCAGAGTGAGGTTGTGGTCAGACTGACCCATGTGGATGCAAGCAAGGGAGGGCAGTTATTAGAAGTCCAGATCAAGACGAAAGGCCAGAAAGCCCCTTGCTTTTTGAGTCTTTGGTGACTGGATGAGGGAACTCTTGGGGTCCCCAAAGTGCTGATGGAGGAAGAGTTACTGAAGATCAGAGTGGAGCTACAACACGTGAACACTAAAGGAAACTGCCTCACACATTCAGCTCAATTAGACAACTTTACACATGCCTCACACATCTGTGCTTAACACTGTGAACACCAGCACCCACTGCTCCCCCCATAGAGGAACCCCACCCTCCTACTTCCCCCTATTAAAAGTAGTGAGATTTCCTGAAGGTCATCTCTGGAGAAGAGGAATGGATACAATGGGCTTCACTAAACTGAGACAGTGAGACTTCATTTTTTTTTTCTTTCTTTCTTACTTTTTTTTTTTTTTTCCCCCTAATCCACGACTTTGGCTGATCTGGCTGTGCTGCTTAGATTTCCTAAATTTTGGACTTTTCTGTTGTTCATTTGCCAGGGACCTGCCTCTGGAGAGTCCTGCAGGAAAAGATCTCCCAGTCTGAAGTCAAGGATCCATTCCTCAGAAACTCCTTTGGTATGTGTGCGGATGAGGTCCGTCCTTCACGCTTGCAGCCAACTGCTGGCTCCTCAGGCACTGCGTGGAACAGACAGAGAAGGTGAGAAGGAGGGGACGACCTCGGGTTCAGCTGCCGGGGTTGGCTTTCTTGGTGTGACCAAAGCTTCCTTATTTGATGGAGATTACTCTGGATAAACAGATGCTGAAATGGACCAGCAGGCCTGCACCCTTTTGACTCTAAGCCCTGGCTTCCTCCTGAGAAATATATTCTATGAGGGGACATATAAGTTCATGCAAAAAATGAAACTGAAGTATGAGTTTATTTGGGTGCAAAACAGATTTAAAAGCTCTGTATAGATTTTTTTTCCCACAATTTGCCATTTCCAAAAACTTTTCAAGACCCCTCGTATTTGGAAAACATTTTACTTTATGCAGAAGACAGAGCAACACAGATGCAGCAGAAAGCCTCTGGAGCATTTCTGAATCTCATTCTCCTCCCTGAGGGTTAGTGGTGCTGTCAGCAGTTTGGTGTGCATCCCCTGGGCATTTTTCTTTGCGTTTAAGTCCATACGTATGCACTTAGAAATGAATACTCACCGTGTGTGTTTTTACATGATGGGATCATGCTCATACATTTTTCTGCAATTTCCCCTCTTTAAAAATGTATTCATTCTGGTACCAGCAGTTGGCATAATGGCTATGTTGCTGGACTCCCATGTAGTCGACCATGGTTCAAGTCCCAGACCCGGTGGCTTAAACACACGCCAGGTGTGTGTGCATGCGTGCCCAAGATCCCGAGAGGAGAAAGGAGGAGAAGGGATTGTGGTGTGGCCACTCCCCTGGGGGGTGATTTCTTGCTTTCTGTCTTTATGTCTCTCTCTGTCTTTCTGGTGAGCGCACGTGCCCTATAGCAAAAACCTCTCAAACAAACAAACAAACAAAAAACATATTAATTCATTATTCAGTAAATATTTACATCCTGGACACTGGCCTAGGTGCTTGTGTTAATAATGACACACGGTAGTGACATAGGACCAGTACAGTGTGCTGGGCACGGTGTTTATGCAGTTTAATCTCCCAGCCGATGAAGTAGATGCTGTTATTATCACCATTCTATAGACAAGGAAAATGAGGCACGGATTGGCCAAAAGGGTTGTCCAAGTGCACACAGCTACTTAGAGGTGGGACCTGGGTTGAAATTCTGGTAGTTGAGCTTCAAAGCAGGTGACCTTAGGTGCTATCCTCTATTATTATAGGCAATGACAGATGATAACGTTCTCTGGCTTTTCATTCAGTAAGAGGAAACACAATATAATATGTGTGTATATATATATATATATATAATATTAATATATATGCACACACATTAATATATATGCACATATACATCTATATGTATATGCAAATGTAATATACACACATATACGTGTACGTGTACATAAATATAGATATATATGTGTGTATCCAATTTGTCAGGGGAGTGGTAAGGGCTATTAGTGGGGATAAAGGGACAGAAGGAAGGAGGTTTAGACTGCGGTGCTATTTTGAAGTATTTGGGAGGATAGCCGCTCTGCAAAGGTATGAGTGAGCACCTGAAGGGGAGATGAAAACAAGCTGTGCGGCTATTAGGAGGAAGAGAGTTCCAGGCAGAGGGACAGAGGGAGCAGCATGTGCAGAGGCCCTGAGGCAGGAGCATGCTCGTGTTACTCAGAAGACTCCAATGTGACTGAAGTAGAGGACGTGAGGAAGAAGAAGGGTGTGGAGTACTGGGAGATGAGGACAGAGAGGCAGAAAAGTCAGAGTAAGGAAAGCAAAGAAGAAGGGTGTGGAGTACTGGGAGATGAGCGGCAGAAAAGTCAGAGTAAGGAAAGCGTTTCGGTGTTTAAAGTCCAGTGTGGCACCCCATCGTACTAATGAAGCTCTGCTTATTTCACCTGCTCCTGATGGGCACTGCGGTTATCTCAAGCTGTCCCTGTTTCAGACAAAGCTACAGTGAACCACTGCACATCTAGGCTTCACCAACCTGGCTGCACATTCGAATTGCCTGGCGAGCCCCAACACCTGCCAGTGGCCGGCCTGCCACTGCAGATTCTAGTTTAATTGGTCTGGATGGCGCCAGTATTTTTTATAAGCTCCCCAGCTCATTCTAATGTGTATCCAAGGCAGAATGTTTTACATGTATTCTTGTGCATCTATGGCTAGGGTGGATGTTGAGAAGTGGAGTTGCCATCTGGTGGCATGTGGGTTTAAAGTTTAAGAGACATGTCCAGATTGACTTCCAAAAGGACCATCCCCATGTTCTCTTCCGCCAGCAGTGTGGTGTCCAGTTTTTCATACCCGGCCAGCCTGGGATACTGTCCATTTCCTTAATGGTTTCAATATGGCAGACAGAAAGTTACAGCATTTCATTGTTGCTTTAATTTATGCTACCTTGGTTACTAGTGAGGGTGGACATCTTTTTCATATTTGCTCTGGTTTCTTCATCAGTGACCATCGGTTTCTATTATTTTCAAAGCACAGATCTTTCTGTTGTGTCTGCGACTTAGGTCAGACTTGTCTCTACCTTAGTTTATCTGAACCAAGGATGACAGGCCTTTCTGACCTTCCAGAAAAATGTAGCATTCCCCATTTTACATGATGGAATCATGAAAGTTCTCTGAAGACAGACTTATGCAGAACAATCCCCAGAGAGCCTTACCCCAGCCAATAACACAAGAAAGAAATGGAATTGGTTCATAATAAATCAGTAAAACCTAAGTAAGAGGGTTTTAAAACTCCCTAAGTTTCACGAGCTTCTCTAGCCAATTAATAGAACTTGAGGAGGGAAGTCCTGGGAGCCCGGATTTCTAGCTGTTGGTTAGAAGCACAGGTTACAGCCTGGGGCTTACAGTTGGCATCCGAAGTACAGGGCAGCCTTGTGGGACCGAACCCCTCAACTTGTGGGCTCTGACATTAACTGCTGGTAGAGGGTGTTGGAATTGAGTTAAGTGATAGGATACCCAGTTGGTGTCCACTAGAGACCAGCTAGGTGTGTGGGGACCCACCTTGCATATCTGATTGCAGAGCTGTGTTGTGTTGACTATGTAAATGGAGAAAACCTGTTTATTGTTTATATTAGGGATGCATACATCTTATTTTGTGGCATATTTTTGCAAGTTGGGGTGGGGGGCTTGTGCTAATGCATGTTTCAAGGACCAGGGTCCAGAAATCTGCATTTTTAAAGAGGTTTTGGCCATAGGGCATGTGTGCTCACCAGAGAAAGAGAGAGAAAGATGGAGACAGTGAGAAGGACAGTAACAAATCACCCCCAGAGGAGGTGGCCACATTGCAATCCCGTCTCCTCCATTCTCCTCCCGGAATCTTGGACACACACACACACACATGCATCCACCATGATTTTCAAGCCACCAGGTCTGGGACTCGAACTGCAGTTGGCCACGTGGGAGTCCAGCAACATAACCACTACAGCATCTGCTGGCCCCAGAAATCTGCATTTTTACAAGCACCCTTGCTGAATCTGTCCTAATGGCCCTGAGACCTCTGCTGTAAGAAATATGACTAGAATGACACAACCTTGAATTTTCAGTGCACCTGCTAAAAGCAAAAGCCTGCAGACATGTTGATCTAGGCAGGGCATTTGAACAATTAGGACTGGCAAAGAGACTGTCGTAATATGTAAACATTAAGCATGTGACTCATTCTTCCACTTACTTAACAATTGGAGGGTAGAGCATTTTCTGACTCTGGAAGACTACAAGTTTCTGACTGTGTTCGGGCCAGAACACTTGACTTTGGTATCCTGAAACCCCGTCTGTCTGTCTGCCTGTCTTTCTTTCTTTCTTTCTTTCTTTCTTTCTTTCTTTCTTTCTTTCTTTCAGTTTGGAGAGTTTTGTTTTGTTTTGTTTTGTTATAGGGCGCGTGCGCTCACTGGGAAAGCAGAGAGGCAGAGAAACAGAAAGCGAGAAATCACCCCCCAGGGGTGATGGCCACACTGCAATCCCTTCTCCTCCATTCTCTTCTTGGGATCTTGGGCACACACGCACACACTCCTGGCATGAGTTTAAGCCACCGGGTCCGGGACTCGAACCGTGGTCGACTACATGGGAATCCAGCGATGTAGCCATTACACCAACTGCTGGTCCCCAAACCCTGTCTTTCTTTGCCTCAACCATCATGTGGGTTACATAAGTCTCCTGTAAAATTAGAGTGAATGACACCCCTTTATGAGTTTGGGTAAAGACTATCATGATCTGAGACTATTAAAAGAAAGTAACTACTTGAGATTTCAACTATTTGAGGGGGAGAACAGATTGGTTACAGCCTTCTTTATAAGGACAAAGAACAGTTCTTTAAAACATAGGCACTTCAGGGCCAGCAGGTGGCATAGTAGTTAAAGTGCTGGACTCCCACATGGCTGACTGCAGTCAAGTCCACGACCTGGCGGCTTGAAAATCATGCTGAGTGCGTGTGTGCGAGTCCAAAATCCTGAGAAGAGAATGAAGGAGAAGGGAGTATGGTGTGGGCATCTTCCTGCGAGGGGGGTTGAGGGGTGATTTCTCACTTTCCCTCTCTGTTGAATGCACACACCCTATGGCAAAAAACTAAAAAAAAAGAAAAAAAAGTGGGGGATAGTAGCTTACTTCAGATAGTATTTTTGAAGGAAGCGCAGAAAACATGTATTCAGAGCTTTTGGTTTCATCTCTAGATGGTCAGCTTTTTCCAGCTCCTTCGCGGAAGTCCTTGCTGCCTTTCAGATGGTTTCAAAAGAGCCTCCCTGTGGGTGCATCTGCTGGGTGGTAACTTTATTTCCCTTCTTGGCATTGACTTAGCACAAATTAGGATGATGAGTTTGCTGATGGGAATGAAAACTGACCATCCTGCTAATGGCCACCATTAGGGAGTTTTTCCTCTTGGATTCTGAGGGAGAAAATTTCCCAGTGGTAACAATTGGCAAAGAATGCTACTTGCCTCTGGATGCCCAGGGTGGGAGTGGGGAGCTGAAAGATGCAAAAATCCTCAGCCTCATTTCTGATTTCACAAATTGTTCATCTCTTGCAGCGGGGCTTGGATGCCAACTTACTTTCATTTTTTTGTTTGTTTATTTCTTCCATGAGTAACACACACACACACA